AAAAGGCTGTTTACTCTCAGGTTGTTCCACGTCTAAATGCACTCTACATTGCAGATGGTCAGAGCATCCACCAGCTTGGAATAAACTGTATGACTGAGGAAAAACTTGAGACCAGCTGGTATTCTTCAGAACTCTGTCCAATTTTTTCGAGATCAAACTTTCTTCCCTCTTGTTACACCATGTGAAGATCGGACCATAGAAACCTAGATCCTTGAAATGACAATCTCGCACAACACCTAGAAAACCCCTCATACCTGCAGAAAGAGAAGGTGAATGATCGCAATCCAAGTGCTCCTCCATCTCTAGGATCTCATTATAATCGCCCAAACAGATCCATGGTTTTTAGCAGAAAATATTCATTGCATCCATACACTCCTTTTTTTATTATAAATATATTTTAATTTTTAGTTTATACTTATATTTAATTCTGAAAATATAGATAAAATTTAGATTATTTTACATTTCTATAAATCTCTGCACTATTATTGTAGTTAAATTTCCCAAATTATAGGTTAACTTAATGAAATATTAGTTAAAAATTATCTTTTTATATTTATAATTCCAAAAATTCAAATATTAAATTATATTATTTTAGGTTTCCTCATTATAGGTAATGTATTACTTATCATTCAAAAAACCTACTTTTTAATGTATCTTTACAAATATAAAATTTAGATTTATTTTAGATATTCAAATTTACATTTTACCGTAATATGAACTGACATATTAAGATAATATTTTTATAATCACTGTCCTTTGTGGATTGGTTTTTCAAAACATACAAAATAGTGGCCTGATTCAAGATGATTAAAATAACAGATAAGTCATTTTATTATTTAAATGTATATTGGTTGTATAGTAAAAGAGATTTATATAATAACAAAATTTACATTTACGATTACATCGATGTATACTTTACTAACTCATCTATAATATTATACTAATATATATCATATGGCAATATCAAATGAATTTTATAAAAATTGATATTTTTGTTAATAAAAAACATGGATAGATTTAAATTACCAAAATCACATGATCATGAATATTTTAATTAAAATTAAAAGTCAAACTATTTTTATTAGTGTTTAGTCTACATAAGAACATTTTTTATACAAAAAAAATAATGTATAAAAAAATATTTTTCCACATACCACATCTATCTATTGGAATCTAATTTGCATAGCACGAGTTGAAAATATGATATAAACATCAAAAGATATATTACAAAACAAATCAACAAAAATACTATCTTCTTACTAAAACTTAAAAATCACAGATTCAACATATTGAAATAAATAACATTTCGTTATCATTTATTTCTCATTCTCATTTTGTATATTTCAAGATTTACTCTAAAAAAACTTGACCTATTTTACATATTTCAAACATTTAGTTTAAAAAAATAATAATTTTTCGCGCGGATGTATAACTTAATCTATATACTTATTTGTGTAGTGATTTGCTTACGTGTCGTGCTCACAGTAAGTTTCACAGTGTTTCGCTTACGTGTCAGCTCCAGAATGAGTTTCGGCTGCAAAAAGACCGATTAACCCCAATTTGCAATTACGTGTCATTTTTTATTGTTTCTTATGTGATGATATGTTAAAAATAACTTATAACAAACCGGTCTAAATTATTATGGTTTAATACTTACTTTCATAGTCAATCAAACCGTTTTAAAATTATATAAAACCAAAATTTAGAAAAAACTTTAGAAAAAACGTTTTTATAAGAAGAAACTAAACAAATAAAATCTATATCTCTTATGGAATGGTGTATAAAGCCCATCAACCATTTTCAAAAAAAATAGATATAGGTTAGTGTTCTCGATAATTATGATATATAGGTTAGTGTTTACCATTTCTTATGTTTCCGAAATTTTAAAAAAAAATCTAACAAAAATGTTAAAAGAAATAAAAAATAGAATCTATTAAAAAGTAATGGACTGTCAATTCAAAACAAAGAAAATCAAATTTTTTAAAAAAAAATATTTAACAAAAAGGTTTAAAAAAAAAGAATCTATATATCTAACTAATGGAATATCCTTTTAAAAAAAAAAATCATCTCTAACCAGTGGCTGATCTAGAAAGAAATTTAGTTGAGAACATAATATCTAATAGAAAAGTAAAAAAAAAAGTATCTATATATCTATCTAATAGAATGTCGTTTGAAAAAAAAAGAAATTATTTATAACCAGTGGCGGATCTAGAAAGAAATTTAGTTGGGGGCATAATTTTATAAAAGTTGGAGGCACATGACCCCATTCAGCTTTTACTACGCCCGCCCCCATCTCTAATTAATGGAATGTCGCTAATTATTATGATAGATAGGTTAGTGTTTACAATTTCTTATGTTTATAAGGTTTTTGATTTCTTTTGATTTAGTATAAATATCAGTCATTTTTCTCTAATTCTATCACAACTTTCAAAATTGTCTAACATATTCCGTCTTCTTCGTTCTAACTAAAAACTTATGGAGTCATCAGGTAAACATATACTAATATTTTTCTAAACAAGTATAAAATAAGAAATAACTTAAATCATATCGGTCTATATTATTATGGTTTAATGGTTTACTTTATCTTCAATACCGTTTTTCAAATTTAATAAAACCAATATTTAGTCAAATCTAATGAAAAAATAAAAAATCAATCAATGGAATGTCTAATGAAATGATGATATTTGTGATGTCTAAAATACATAAAACAGTGATCAAAATCGAAGAAGTTCGTACGGTAGTTAAAAAATTACATCTAAAATACATAGAATAATTATCAAAAAATCTCAAAACTATTTAAACTAAATTATTTGGATACTAATATGTTTTTATTTACTCTCTTTTATATTATTTTCGTGATTATGTTTTCAAACATTAAAATGCAAGGAAATCTAACAAATAAATATACTCAACAATAGAGAATAAAAAAACAAATGAATCCAAACTTCTATTAGATTTCCAAACAACCAAATAGAAAATTATATAGTATGCACAAGGTGCGGAAAAGTTAACTAGTTTGGAAATATAGTATAAACGTCAAAATACTTTTCTCACAATAAATTAACAAACTATATTTAGTCGTAAACACTTAAAGAAAGTTATAAATCACTCTATAAATTTTTTGATCATGTGCGGACGCATGAGTTAGAATCTAGTTTAAAAGATAATTTTTGAAAATTATGGATTATAAATATTTTTTCTCTTTAAATTGTTATTATTAATTTATCAATTAACTAATATAATTATAAAAGCATATATTTTAAAAGTCTTGATATTATTAATTTATCGACGGTTTATTGTACACATATTTAAATAAAAATATAATTTTTAACAAAAAAATATTTAAATATAAGTTAAGAAAATGGAATCAAATTTATTTTAATCCCAAAATGGAAAAAAAAAAAAGGTAACTAAAAACATACAATTCAAAGACTACGTGTTGAATGAGCTAGATTGGCGATTGTTTATGCAATTTATTGATGATTTTGAAGAAGTAAATGTTTAAAAATTAGAAGTAGAACACTGAATATCTTCAAAATAGTCTACCTTAATTTCATTAAACTCATACATACACTTTAGTTTAATATGTTCACATATTAAAATATCTGTCATAAGAAGAAGTATCATTCAGACGTTTTTTTTTTACCGGTACCATTTAGACGTTTATGCCAATAAAATAGAACAAGTTGGCGTAAGACAGAAGAATCTTTTTCTTGATGTTTTCTCCTTGGTTATTGTAATTAATAAACTACTAAGATTATGATTAACCATATGCTCTGTACATTTCTCCTCCTATTAAACTGAATTATTTTTAATCGGGCATAAAATAAATGCTTTTAATACCAAACCAAGAATTTGACGGTGTTTAAGTTTCCATAAATCTAATGGTTGAACCAAAATACATAAGGTTTTATTAGATACCAGTACCTAAGTCATTTACATACATAGATACTAGTACCCTTTCTGTTCAAAAAAAAAAAAATCTAACCCTATTTAAAGTTTGTAATCATACTTACGCGGATGAATATATATATATATATATATATTTGTATTTATTTATAAAACGATAGAGATATATGTGTATTTATTTATAAAACTATAGAGATATATGTGTATTTATTTATCATAAACAGTATTACATTCGTAGTAATTAAAGGGGTTTGATGAAGATAGCAATACAAAGATTTATTTAGTTCACTATTTTTCTTAGCCCAACTAGGTTGCATAGCTTCTATTTTGAACACTGCTTATTGTAATCTTTTTACCAGGCAATAATTTGACTAGTCAATCAATATTCAATGTTCATACAATTTAAACTTGAGAATATCTAACCTTATATGAGTTTCTAAAACAGGCCTAGCTAACTATTTATAGATACTATTTAATTCGCAATGCTTGGACCGATGATAATTCATAGTAGTTTTGTATTTTCGTCGATTGGCTAATGATCATAAAAATCACTCCTAAAACATCGAATTGGTGGATACATCGACTAATCTCCTATTTCATAAATCTTAAAAAGGAAGAATTATAAGATAAACTGGTAAATTAAAATTTTGGAGTAGCTATAGCAGCTTCTTCAAGGAGGGTTTAACCTAATTGAGCTCTTAAGCCAAGGCGATAACCAAATAAATATATGTTAAAAGTAGGAGACACGGAAACAGCTCCCACGTTCCTCTCTCTCTCTCTCCTTGTTTCTCTCATCTCACCAACACTAATAAACAACAAACCAAATTTATCTGAAATTTAAATGTGTAAAGGAGTTATATCTTCGAGGAATAATTAAATATAATCTGTTTTTTTTTTAATCTTCTCTCTTGTGATCCTCCATAAATCCTATCATCTCTAACCTCACTTACCTTTCTCTCTTCCGAATATTACTCTTTGTAGTGAGTAGTGGCCAAAATCCCATCTCCCAAAGCTTACTTTCAGTTGTGTCCTCATGGTTGGTTAACTTTTTCTACTCTTATTTCTTCATTTCTATGCCAGATTAAGAATCTCTGATTATTCTCGTTCATCATACCCAATTTCTTATAATTGTTGGTTTATCCTCATCGTAGCTCGTTGTACATATGTAGAATCCTTGGTATTCTATAGATATTAATGGTGGTCATACATGTAGGAAACAATTGAATTATGGTATATAAAGTTGTCTTTTTATTTATTATTTTTTTTTTTTGGTGAATTGAATCATTTAGAAATTCTGTAAATCGTTTGTGGTAGGGAATTCAGAAACCGGCTTGGTTAGATGCACTTTACGCAGAAAAGTTCTTTGTTGGATGTCCGTACCATGAGACGGCAAAGAAGAACGAGAAGAACGTGTGTTGTCTTGATTGTTGCATCAGCCTCTGCCCTCACTGTGTACCATCACATAGATATCATAGACTACTCCAGGTTCGCCGTTATGTGTATCACGATGTTGTTCGGCTTGAAGATCTTCAGAAACTCATCGACTGCTCTAACGTTCAAGTCAGTAGTGTATTCTCAATCTTAATACTATACATATATATATTTCCCTCACACATATATATATATATATTGATTGGTGGTGAATTGTGGACAGGCTTATACAATAAATAGTGCAAAAGTTGTTTTCATCAAGAAGAGACCACAGAATAGACAATTCAAAGGAGCTGGCAACTATTGCACTTCATGTGACCGAAGTCTTCAAGAACCGTTTATCCATTGCTCCTTGGGTTGTAAGGTTATTTCATAACTACTACTTCTATAAATTACTCGATTCAATTCTATAAATTACTCAACCTAGCTCTGCTTATTATCTGATTCTCATTCATTATGATCACTTAACAAAGCTATTGGGTTTTTATATAGATTTATATTATATATATATATATATATATATACTTATGGATCTTTAAATATGCCCGTCTCAGACGTTAGAGTTGATTCATATCTATGAAGGAAAACCTGATCTTTTCCTGAATTGATTTATGTCTTCAATATACAACTACTACATTTTGTGACTCAGCTAGATTACTGACCATCCGTTAGAAAATGATTTAAATTCGTCAATTTTGTTATTTTCCAAAGACGATCAATCTCAATTTTTTAAAAAAAAAAATTTTAAGAAAAAATAAACAAAGGTTTGCTAAAGGATCTCGAAAAAATCTAGGATTACTAAGATACGCCAATTATTATATAATATACTATATATATATATTGTTGGATTTGAAATCTTGTACATTGAAATACTGTATTAATTAAAGACATGAAGAAATTCCGTAATGGTAGGCTATTTTATTTGAAATAACTCTGTTATATAATCGCTGTAAGAACAATGTTTTCTTATTCTTGCATAAATACTCCAAAATCATGTGAGATAGTGGTGTGTTCACAAGTTTTTTCGGACACCACCACACTTCAAATCCTGTTGCGCATGCACTTTGTAATATATATCATGTGTAAGGAAATACCGTTAATACACAATGACATACTGTGTGTCACACAGATATAGTCGTAAACATCAAAGATTTTTTTTTTTTTAAGAACATTTTAAAATCTAAACTGTTTGAGCGTGCATATTATTATTATTATTATTTATTATTATTATTATTATTATCTATTATTATTATTGTTATTATTAATATTATTATTATCAGTATTATTATTATTATTTTTGGATGTTTTGGGCCAAAATCCGTAATCCCTCAGACCCTAAATTACATGTAATATTAGTTTTGTGTTAAGAACCACTGGAATAAAGCATGCATAATATTTTTAAGGTAGATAAAGTTCATAAGATGCGATTAAACTAAACTTCTTGTATTATATACATGTAGGTGGACTTCGTGATGAAACGTTACAGGGACATAACTCCATTCCTAAAGCCATGTCACATTCTAACCCTAGGCCCTGACTACATCATCCCACAAGACTTACTCGCGGATGATGACGTTGCTGCGTACGAAACTCCCGGCTCTACGGTGGTCGACGGTGATGAGTCCATGAGCTGGTCATCGACTTCCTCCGATCTACGAGACGCTGCGACCACCACCCACGTCGTGAGGAAAAAGCGAACCGGTTTCTGTTTCTGTCCCAAATCGGCTAATAGTTATAAAGTAGTTTCTGAGGATCCTGACGATATTTCTACTTGCATCAATCGGCGCAAAGGCATTCCTCAACGATCTCCTCTCTGTTAACGTTCGCTTTTGATTCCTGTAACGTTTCTTCATCTTCTTTTTAGTTTATTTTCACCATATAGTTTATATGTTACATGTATGGATTGTTGTCGCTCTATCTAATAAAGTTTATTTATAGTCAATCATTTTTTTATTGTCTTTACAAGTTTGATTACGTAGAGGTTAATTTAGCATACCCTTAAAGAAAAAAATATGTAAGGAATAAATTTAATCACAATGAATTCATAGCGGTTTAGTGAATGAAAGACAGACCTTCTAACTTGGGAGATTAGAGTTTCACTTTTCCTACTACAGTTATAATAGTAATTGGCCAAACACTTGAAGTAGGAAGTCAAGCCGAACTTTTTGTAACTTTAAAACTTAGTCTAACTGTCTAAGTCTTCGCCAAAAATTCTCTCCATAAAAAGTATAATACAACTGGAGTTCATTGCCGGCAAATTTTAAATGGTTTGTATGTGAACGACACAACAAAATTACAAGATGAAGGAAACTTTATTGATCAGATAATTTTGGATCGAAACCGTTTAGACTTACAATGACTCAATAGTACTAAAAGTCATTGGGAGATGATCTCGTCAGTCCTTGTTCGTCGGTGAGGGATGAATTTATCTCTTGTATAAATCTAGTCGCTTATATCTAGCTATGACGTGATAGTCACATCAACGATGTTAGTTTTATCGTTGATAATAGCATTGTCGGTGATAAGTGTCTTTTCTCATTAATGAAAGTTATTTGGATAGTGATGAAAATGTCGATGGTTTTTTGTGTTAGATAATAGGAATATAGAATATTTCCTATTTCTGATAATATCAAATATGTACATAATAATAGTATGAAGCGCCTATATAAAGGGTTTTTGAATAACATAACTCTACACAGAGATTCATAAAACTTACATGGTATCAAAAAATTTGAAAACCTTAATACCGATTCTTAAGTTTCTTCCCCTCCGCTCTCTTCTTCTACCACCGCCGATTAGCTTTCTTCTCATGCTATCGGCTTTGTTTTCTTCTTTTTCTATTCTTCTTCTCTTCACCGATTGTGGATCCTCAAACAACCAACGTTGACAAACCTTTCAATTCACAAATTAGGGCTAATGTCCTAATTATTCTGAGCTTGGAAAAACTCATCTACAATTTGTGGCGTGAACTCTTTGAAACTCATTGTCTGAGTTTCAGTGTTTCCGGACACCTTGATGGCACCTCTAAACCATCCACTGATGCTGTACAAATTTGAAGGAGCGTGATGGTCTTGTCAAGATGTAGATCTATGACAAAATCTCTGAGTCCCTTCTCGATTCTGTTCTGTAGAAAAAGTGTTCAGCTCATGTGCTTTGGCACGCTGTCAAGAATTTTTCGTGTTAATAAAGAAGGGTCTGTGCTCCCGCTAGCGAACAATCTTCGTACATTGGCCATCCGCGATCTCGGCATCCACTAATAAAGTCAAAAGCTCAAGACACTTTCTGATATTCTCTCCAGCATTGGTGCCCCTATTTTGGACCATGCTCTTGTGATGCATTCCTTGAATGGGATTCCGAGAATGGGATTCCGAGAAATATGACAACTTAATCAATGTGATTATGCACAAGTCTACAATTCCAAAATTTTTGGAAGCTTGTTCGATGTTGCTTATGATGGAAACCTGCTTAATAAAGCAATATTATTCTGCCTCCCTTGTCGGAGATCTAATCGGTTTCTGTGGTGTACTCCACTCTCCTTCCTCCTTTTGATCGATACAGGGTTTGTCACTCTGACATTTGTCTTGTAGTTCCATCAGTGCAAGTTTTGGATCAGATTCTTGTACAACTGGAACAATGGAGCTTCTCTGATTTTCTCTTCCATGTACCTCTCTGGTTTCCATTCCTTTCTTTCCAGGAGTCGACTGTTGCAGACTACGAGAACTTGCTGGTGCACTCATGGTAGCCTTTTTGTAACACACTCAACAGATTTATGACCCCATTTGTCACACTGACTACATTTTGCAGGCAGCCAAGGGTATATATTCATAGGTGATAGTCACACTTTCACCACCTTCCATATCAAAATTGTAAGCCTCTGGTAGGGCTTTGTCAGATCTACCTCAACAAAAACCCGAGCCACCTCAAAATCCTTCCATAACTTAGTATCCGGGTGAAGATATTTAGGTTCACTAATAGGACTTGTCAAAAAAGCTAAACCTTTCCACGCATACAGAGATTGTGTGATGTTTTCTACTACCACCCATAAAGGAATAGACTTCAGTTTCGGCTGCCTGTCTTCCTCAGTTGGGCTTCACTTTGATATCACCATTGGAACATCACACAAGTTCCACATTCTCCTTCGCAATACTCTGTTCCTTACACTCTCATCCTTAATATGAAACTTCATTGTAGTCTTGTCCACCACAAACACATCTATTTTCATTGTCCTGTCTGATAAAGGCCAGATCTTATTCACCAACATATGAACTTTTCCAACGTACGGAACTGTATCCAGAAATTTTCTGACAGGGAGATCCTCCCGGAGGTGGGTAGTTCTCCATAATTTCTTTTGGAACTTTAATAGTAGGAACACGTTCGACTTCGTTTACAGTGAATTCATATCTCTGCATCACTCGCTTGTGTTTGAACTACTGCTGGAAAAGTACTCTTCGTTGTTTGAGATCTTAGCTCTGTTCCAGCTGTTTTGCTTGAATCACCCAACACTTCTCCCCCATCAGTTGTACACTTTTATACCTCCTCCCTAACTTCCACCACCTGCTGTGTCACCCCTGGAGAACTCTGCTCGAGATTCTGCACTTGACCTGTATCCTGTTGCGGCGGAGAGCCCACCAGCGACAACATCTTGGCGAAGAAGCAAAAGAACCCTAAATCGCACTTGTTATCTCACCCTCAGAAAAACGCACCGTTTCACACCCTTCACCTTATACATTTTAGCAAAAACAGACGACCATTTCATTGAATCTCTTAATCAAAATGGGCATTTTCTCTCAAAATCGAAATCACATATGTATGACCAATCAACCATTTCATAGCATGGCTTCAAATTTTGATGAAAAAATGTGGACCAGTGGCTGTTGCTGAGTTCAGTCTTCATGAATGCATTATACATTAGAGCATCATTATCTCAGAGACTTGGGCCATCTCTTAGCCCGAAAAAATAATAAAAATAATGAAACCCAGCCCAAAAGTTGTAAAAACGTTTCTTATTTCGCGACAATAAGAGACGTTTCTTCCGAACACGTGGTGCCTTGTGAGTGGGTGGAAACAAATGGGGAGAAAAAATTATTTTCTGTGCTGGAATTTTTTTTCCCCAAGCAAAACTTATTTCCCCGACTCTTTGGTCTCTCCATCAAAGGCGATTTGAAAGGTGATTTTGATGATTCAGTTTCTCTGACGGGTTCTCTCCGACCGCGGTTGTTTCTCCGGCGGCTTCTGGGATCACTGTGACGGTCTGTCCAGGTAATCCGTGTTTATCTAATCCCAATCTCTATCTTCAATTTTCAGTTTCTCTAAGAGTCGTGAGTTACCTGTTTTGTGTTTAGAAATGATTCAATGATCAATGGGGTGTTTGATTTGTTGATTTGGGTTTGGTTTTAATCGAATTTTCTGGTGGTATTTGAGTAGGAAATCGATTGAAAGTGATTTAGGGTTTCGGAAAATTTGGGGTTTGGGGTTGATTTATTGTGAGAAACTTTGTACGTCTGTTTACTAATCGAATCTGTTAAGGTATTTTGTTGTTCTTGATGTTTACTTTTTGAACCCAAATTCCTCGTTTTGTGCTCTGGTTTTGCAATCGATTCTGTTTAACATTCGTTTTGTTGTCTCTGTTTCAGCACCATGCCGATCAGCTACAGCAATAGTTCATCTTCTGTAGCAAGCTACGATAGTGGATGTGCTCGAGCTGATGGGTGGCCGAACCATAATCATTGAAGAGTCCACAGCTGCAGCGATATTCGGAAGGAAGTTCTACACGTCCCCCGAAATATTGGGAGAGTTAAGATGAAATATTTGTAAATGTACGGTTAGTTTATGTGTTAGTGTAGTTTATAATTGAAGTTTTCATTCTCAAATGTGTAGAGTCCAGACCACATCTGGAAATGGTGGGATGAAGCCATTGAAGAACAGCTAACCATTCTACAACTACGTATAGACGAGCAGAGTGGAAGGATGAAAAGCTACAATAGAACAGCGCTGCTTCAATCCTACGAGAATCGGTTGTACACAATGGAGCCTCTGATTGACAGACACAAGGAGGAGATTGCAGAAATAAAGGAAGTCCTGGTGGAGATTCAAGGAGAAGTGGCTCAGATGAAATAGGCAGTGGCGACTCGAGGTTCTGATCTGCTCTTTATTCTGTTTTTGGTCTTTTTTCCTGCTATCTATTTTCTGTTTATGCATTGGGAGGTAGAATAGGTGACAATTCATGTCTGTAATATTTAAGTACCGGCGGTGGAAGTGGTTGATTGTGGTAATTTTAGTAGTGGATGGTAGGTTTTACCTTATGTTAAGGTTCTTTCTGTCGATGAACTGATTGTATATTGGTAGAAAGAATTGATGTTTGAAATGAATGTCTCATTACCGGTTCTTAAACACTGATTGTCTATTGCTAGAAAAGTATGTTGTTTCCGGTTTTTATGATAATATGCAGGCTGAGATTTCGAGGGTTGCAGAGCTTCACCAAACTAGATAAGTTTCTTGACTTCATTCTCTCCTTTAAGTTATACATTCATGCACTCTTGGTTATTGATGTGTTCTTTAGGTCTATCTCTAAGTCCCAATGTTGTTTGTATGCAGCTTTTTAGGGTTTACAAGTTACAAGGTGAGACAAATGGTATCCGTGAGTAATCAGAGGACGTCTTCGCCTCATGATGTGGTAAGTTTAAACTTTCCTTCATGTTTAAAGTATAATGAGTACAAAGTAATTATACTTAAAGTATAAAAATGAGTAATAAGTAATAAATGTGTATTACCGTATAGATAACGGTAATAAATTGGTTAGTTAGATAGGTATGAATGCTTTGTTAGGTTCAGGTCATGTCATGGTTAGATAGGTGATCAATGCAGTTCTCCTTACGGTCATCTCTTTCTTTGCTGTTGTATTAAAAGCCAATGCTGGTTAGATAGGTGTTAACTCATTAATCTCTAGTATCTCTTTCTTTGATGAAGTAATAAAAGCTGATGGTAGCTTCATCTTTTGAATCTCATCCGTTCAGTCCTTTTGAGTCCTTTTTTCCATTCCTCTTCTCCTTGTGTCTTCTACTCCTTTCTTTCAGTCCTCCTCTGCTTCATTCATCTCTATCTCCTCCTTCTTTGATATGGACATGTCTTCGCCTTATGCTTCCTCTCAGCCCTCTAATTTTGTTGAATTATTGAACAGTCAACAAGATACATCCCTCTCTGAATCCTTTCCCTATCTCGACCAAGTCCCTCTTTTCAGTACTCAGGGCACGCAACCTTCTAACATCAAGGAAACGCCTGCAGAGCGCCGAGAAAGAAAGACATGGAGCCCAGCAGAGGACGTCTTGCTCATAAGCTCTTGGCTAAAAACAAGCAAGGACCATGTGGTTGGCAACGAGCAAAGGTCAGGAGCTTTTTGGAAGAGGATTGTGGCGTACTATGCAGAAAGTCCGAAGCCTGCATGAAGTGCGAGGGAGGACAATGTAAGCAGCAGTGGTATAAGATAAACGACCTCGTATGCAAATTATTTGGAGCTTATGAGTCAGCATCAAGAGAGAAGGCCAGTGGGATGAATGAGAACCACGTCATAAAGATGGCTCACCAAATATTCTTCAGTGATCAGAAGAAGAAGTTTAACCTAGAGCATGCTTGGAAGGAGTTGCGTAATGACCAGAAATGGTCTGAGCTTTCTTCAACAAAAGCAGATGCAACCTCGGAAAAGAGAAGGGCTGAGGAGGGATCACATTCCCCAAGTGCGATAACAGAGGAACTCAAGAGTGGCGAGGATGGTCAGTCAAGCAGGACCAGTTGGTGTGCACGCTGCAAAAGCTAACAGCAAAAAGAATAAGGATGAGGCGATCGCTCTGTCTGAGTTCAAAGCATGTGGACAATTAAGAAAAAGGACAACGCAACGCAAGAATGACTGTCAAAGATGGGTCTTCTAGAAAGTCTCATTGCGTAAAAGGAACCGTTGTTTGAGTTTGAAGAAGCTCTGAAGCAGAAGCTGATAACAGATATGTCACGAATTCCTCAAAACAAACATTTCTCGTGGCTTCTTCATCTAACAATCATTTGGATGGATCAAGTGATGAATCTTTTCATCAACATTTTCATAATTTTTTCAATCAAACATTTAAAAAAAAATTCAATGATTATGGAGATCATCAAGAGGCCAAAAAATCAAGAAAGAAACGAGCTTACATCGAAAGAAATCGGAAAGATGGCCACAATCGTTTATGGAACGATTATTTCAGTGAAGCTCCCACATATCCTCCTAATTTATTCTGGCGATGTTTTAGGATGAACAAGTCGTTGTTCTTGCATATTTTTGGAAAACTTTGCAATGAAGCTCCATACTTTAGACAGAAGAAAGTTGCTCTTGGAAGGCCTCGTCTCTCTGCATTTTAAAAGTGTAAAGCAGCCATTCGTCTCTTGGCTTATGGCACTGCAGCAGATACAGTTGACGAATACATCTGGCTTGGTGAAACCACATCTCGAAAATGTTTGAAACATTTTTTTGAAGCCATAATTAATTTTTTCGGTGAGGAGTACTTAAGAAGACCAACACCGGAGGATCTGGAACGTTTACTTTATATTGGAGAGCAACGCGGATTTTCCGAAATGATAGGAAGCATTGACTGTATGTATTAGAAGTGGAAGAATTGCCCGACCGCTTGGAAAGGGCAATTTTCATGTGGTTTAGGACAACCGACAATCGTTTAGAGGCGGTAGTTTTGTATGATCTCTGGATATAGCACACGTTTTTTGGACCTCCAGATACCTTAAACGACATAAATGTTCTTGATCGTTCCTCGTTTTTTGATGACATAATTCAAGGCCAAGCTCCCCAAGTAATTTTTCAGTCAACTGAAGGGATTATAAATTGGCATACTATCTGACATATGGTATTTATCCAAAATGGGCAACTTTTATCCAATATATTCCACTTTCACAGGGGCCTAAAGCATCTTTATTTGCTGAACATCAAGAAACTGTCCGAAAAGATGTCGAGCATGCTTTTGGAGTCTTGCAAGCTTGGTTTGCTATTGTTAAAAATCCGCCACTTTTTTGGGATAAGGTGAAAATAAGAAAAATTATGACAGCTTGTGTCATACTCTACAATATGATAGTTGACGACGAAAGAGATGGATATACCCACTTTGATATTTCAAAATTCCAACAAGGAGATGGAAACGGAAGTTCACATGTCGATCTCACGTATCCTACAGATATCCCTACAAATCTTCACGATATGTCGAGTGTTCGAACAAAAATCCGTGATAGACAGGTATCAATAATTAAAAGTTGATTTAGTTGAGAATATGTATGACAAAAATTTGGACGTTAAGAAGATCACATCTAAAGATTTATAAAAAAATTTATGTTTTTCATTCTTTATGTTATACATTAAATATGTTTAAATCATATAATTAACTTTTTTTGGAATAAAACATTATTATTAACCTTTTTTTTAAGAAACTCATTAGGGTTTCTACCAATATACAGCAAAATTCATTAGATTTCTTATTTAAGTTTCTAAACACAAAATAATATTAAACTATGCCTTAAGAAACCCATATGGGTATTACCGATAATGATGCTCTTAGTTCTTCTTCTACGTTCATAATGAGTCTTTCAATATATTTTTTTTGTGAATAAAATATTAAATTATATTCAAAAGAAAAAAAATGACTTTTTACAAAACAGATTTTTGCCACTAATCTCTTCTTGTTGCAAACCAGGTTTGCAGTCTATTTGCATACTTCTTAACTCCATTGACTTGATTAGGATCTTCGCAATGTCTTCTGCCATTCGTCTCTGGCCAAAGTGAGTGGATCGTAGCTTGGAGTCTGTTGTTTCTTGTGACAAAGATAACTAAGGTCCTGCTAGAGTGCGCTAAGTAATGTAACGGGCCGAAGGATTCCTCAGAAGGAATGTAATAGGCCGGCGAGCTCTAATTGGGCCTAGTGGACTTCATTGGGTCAGAGGGGAACGTGAATTCACTTTGGGGGGGGGGGGTGTGGGTCGCCCCCACGGTACGGTTTCCTTAATGGGCTCAATAAAGGATTTTCTTTATCGAGTGGGTTTGGGAGTCGGGTTTTTGAGGATATAAATACAGGCTTTAGGAATTGTAATTGATTATTCACACATTCGATAAAGAAACCCTAAACGGGTGTTTTCCTCAATTGCAACTTCTTTCTCTTGTTTATTGCTTTCTTCGATATTGATTCACAACAAGTGGTATCAGAGCTCTAAGTTTTTCCGCAAAACGCTGTCCTGAAGAAGGGAAGTTCTCTTAAGTTCGATGTTCTTAGGTTCGATGGGAAAGGGAATTTCGGTCTGTGGCAAAGTCGAGTCAAGGATCTGCTGACGCAGCAGGGTATGAAGAAGGAGCTGTTAGAGAAAAAGCCGGATAAGATAGAGAAGGATGATTGGGACGATATGCAGGATCAAACTGTTTCGACGATTCGACTTTGTCTCTCTGATGATATCACCAATCAGGTGATGAACATCACGACTTGCAAGGAGATGTGGGATAAGTTAGAGAAGATGTACATGTCGAAATCGTTATCCAGCAAGCTGTATCTGAAACAGAAGTTGTATGGGTTGAAGATGGCAGAGTGAGGCGATCTTATTGCTCATGTCAACAACTTCAACCAAATCATTGGAGATCTGGAGCGTGTGGATGTTAAGATTGAGGACGAAGATAAAGCCATGATCTTGCTCCTCAATTCGAGACTTTGGTGACAGCCATTACAGTCGGAAAAAACGACTATATCGCTGGAGACGGTTTGTACTTCGCTGCAATCCCATTGGGAAAGACGACAGGACAATACCGTGGTGGATAAGTCTCAAGGTGATGGTTTGTACGTGAGTAGCAACCAGCAACGAGGAAGGCAAGAAAAGAAGCAAGATGGAAGTAAAAGGGACAAGTCGAAGTCTAAGCCAGGGAAGAATTCGATGTGCTTTGGTTTTGGTCAGAAAGGCTGTCATCTTCATTGATGACTTCTCCAGGAAGGTTTGGGTGTACTTCTTAAAGCAGAAATCTGAAGTTTTTGCCAACTTCAAGGTTTGGAAGGCTGAAGTTGAAAAACAGGTGGGGAAGAAGGTTAAGTATCTGAGATCAGATAATAGCACAGAGTATACTGATGGAGAGTTCCAGAAGCTCTGTGAGGAGGGCATTCAAAGACACTTCACTGTCAGGAAAACACCACAGCAAAACAGTGTCAGTGAGAGGATGAACCGAACTATTGCAGAAAAGGCAAGGTGTTTGAGGTAGAATGCAAAGCTTCCTAAGCAGTTCTGGGCAGAGGCAGTAAACATGGCGGTGTATCTCAACAATAGGTCGCCTAGGAGTTCTCTAGAAGGAAAAGTCGCTGAAGAAATTTGGACTGGGACAGATATTAATCTGTCAAACTTGAAAATATTTGGATGCCCAGCTTACATGCTGGTTCCATGTGACGAAAGATCTAAAATGGATTCGAATTCCAAGAAGTGCGAAGTGCATATTTCTGGGTTTTGGAAAAGGTGTGAAAGGCTTCAAGTTATATGATCCTGTTGATAAAAGAGGGTATCAGTCGAGATGTGGTCTTTGATGAGCAATATATGGTGCAATAGGCGAGATCAGATCGAGAGACTGAAACAGATTCTGGTACATCACAGATTCTGGTACATCACAAACTAGACTAACAGCAAGACGTGATGGGCAACCTGTTGAGGTGGAGCAGAACGTTCAGCATGGGAAAACAAAGGAGAGTTTGGCACTTCAAAGACCAAGGCGCATCATTAAACCACCTGAAAGATTTGGGTTTGAAGACATGGCGAGTTATGCTCTGATGGTTGGTTCAGGTGATCCAGCAAATTTTTGAGAGGCTATCTCAAGTCTTGAGAAAGATTTCTGGATTGGAGCTATGACAGAAGAGAATGAGAGCCTGGACAGAAATCAAACATGGGATCTAACGTCTTTACCAAAAGGCAAGAGGGCGATAGGATGCAAGTGGGTTTTGAAGGTAAAACATGGGATGTCTGAGAAGGAACCAGTTAAGTACAAGGCAAGATTGGTGGAAAGGGGTTATTCACAGAGGAAAGGGGTTGATTATAACGACATATTCTCCCCTGTGGTGAGGCACACTTCTATTAGAGCTGTGCTGAGTTTGGTAGCAAGCTGGGATTTCCATCTTGATCAAAAGGATGTAAAGACAGCATTTCTTCATGGAGATATGGACAAAGAGATCTATATGGAACAACCAGAGGGGTTTGTCAACCTAGGAGAGGAGAAGCTTGTGTGCAGACTTAAGAAATCACTGTATGGATTGAAGCAGGCTCCGAGGAAATGGTACAAACGTTTTGACTCCTACATGGTGAAGATTGGCTACACAAGCTGTGAGTATGACTGCTGCGTCTATGTAAGGTATCTGGACGACCATTCTTCCATATACCTACTATTTTATGTTGATGATATGCTCATTTCTGTGAGAGATATGGAGGATATTGCTAAGCTGAAAGAGTTATTGAAGAAAGAGTTCGATATGAAGGATCTTTGTGCTGCAAAGAAGATCTTTGGGATGGAAATTCGCAGAGAAAGAAGCTCTAGGAGATTATGGCTTTCTCAAAAGAGCTATATTCAGAAGATTGTAGACAGGTTTGACATGAAAGATGCAAAGATAATGTCTACACCTTTGGCGATGCACTTCTCACTTTCAGCGATGTAGTGACCTAAGTCTGATCAAGAGATCAGAGATATGTCGAAGGTCCCTTATGCAAGTTCAGTTGGCTTTTTGATGTATGCTATGGTGTGCACTAGACCTGATTTAGCACAAGCAGTTAGTCAAGTGAGCAAATACATGTCCAATCCTGGAAGAGAACATTGGAAAGCCGTCAAATGGATTTTCAGATACTTAAAGGGTACAAGCGATCTTGGGCTTATGTTTGGTGGTCAAGAGTGTGGCTCAGTTGTGGGATATGTGGATTCAGATTATGCTGGTTATCTAGACAATAGAAGGTCTACTACATGGTATGTCTTTACTCCTGCTGGGGGTCCAATTTGTTGGAGATCTGTGCTACAATTTGTTGTGGCAATGTCTACCACAGAAGCTGAGTATATGGCCAGCTAAGGAGTCACTTTGGGTCAAGGGACTTGTGACAGAATTGGGTGGAGTTCAGCTATACAGCGATAGTCAGAGTGCATTGTCTCTAGCCTAGAAGCCAGTATATCATGCAAGGACAAAGCACATTCATGTCATAATTCATAAGATCAGAGAGTTGTCTGCATATGGAGAAGTCTTGTTGGAAAAGGAGCACACGTCGGAGAATGCAGCTGATATGTTGACCAAGCCTGTTACTGTGGAGAAGTTCAAGCATTGCTTGGATTTGTTCCATGTCTTCAAGTGCTGAAGAAGAAAAAATCCCCCCAGAAGTTATTGGAGTTTGAAGATGACTTTATGGAAGTTCTTTGTCAAAGTGGAAATTGTTATTTCTAGTGACAAAGATAACTAAAGAGGTCCTGTTAGAGCAAACTGAAGAATGTAATGGGCCGAAAGATTCCTCAAAAGAAATGTAATAGGCCGGCGAGCTCTAGCTAGATCTAGTGGACTTCATTGGGTCAAAAGGAAACATGAATTCATTTAGGAGGGGGGGTGGAGGTATGGATCGCCCCCACGGAATGGATTTTTTAATCGGCTGGATAAAATTTTTTTTTATCAAGTGAGTTTGGAAATTAAGTTTTTAAGAATATAAATACAAATTTTAAAAATTGTAATTAATTATTCACACATTCAATAAAAAAACTCTAAACAGGTGTTTTCCTCAATTGCGATTTTTTTCTTTTGTTTATTACTTACTTCGACATTGATTCTCAACTATGTTGTTTATCTCTTCTAACTTAACCAATCCATTCAATTTATTTTTGCTTGACACTAGGTTGGTAGTCCTCGAGCCGTTCTGTCATGTTAAGGTACTTGGTAACGCACCATTTAGTTTTGGTAAAGAAACAGAACATGATATAACGATCTATTTCATTGTTTATATGTTGTTCGGATTAAGTTGGTGTAACCCCAAAAACCCTTTCTACAAGAAACCATTGCTTCTCTATTTTGTACTTGGATCTTCAACTAGGGCTCTCGGAGACAGCCTCCAGGGAGGAGAAACCGAAAGCGAGCAGCGTTCTGAATCAAAAAGGCAGGTAGATGTACGGCAGATGCAGAAGGCGGGATGGGTCCGATTTTGCTAATCAAATTTTTGAAGCTATATTCTTCAGGAAGCATGTCAAAGAGATCATATCCTTTACATATATGTTTTTGTATCCTCGAATAATCCAAAAACTCCTTGCGCCTGACTCTGTCCGCATGGCTATAACCTTTCATCTTGAAAACGAATTCGCTGAGACGTCTGAAACAGAAGCTACAGTGCCAACCAGCGTCAGATAATATCAAGTCTGTTTGCCGAGAGTGACGGTATTGAGTCCATTTCCTGCTGTATATATGCACAGATGCTTTCCAGCTGCTGTAATCAACCGGGAACTCAAAGGAGTACATGTAATCCCTCATCTCCAGATGCATTACATTCGGTATCCCATCGCACCACTGAAGAAACTTTACAGTATGCGGACTCGGAATCTCATCTGCATCGGACATTATCACCGCATCTCCATCCGATACACCAGCTTCTTTGAGCAGCCAGTTCATTGCAACTCGTTGTTGCCCCTCCAGCAAAAACGGGTCCTCCTGTTGAATCCCCTGCAAACGCTTTTTCCCGGGAAACACTCCGTGTACTATTTTACCCTCAGCGAACGCGAATCTCTCCTTGTTGGAATCGAAAAAGAGAGGCTTGGGGATTCCTGTGAAGGTAGTGTTTGATTCCAGGATCACAAACTTTGAAACGTATGGTCCTAGCTCCTGCCATCTGAGTTCAAGAAGGTCGAGCTCATTGCTGAAAATGATGGCATCAAAGACTTGCCTCGGTTCTGCTCGTGGTGTCCACCCATGGAGTTCACAGAGATGTGCCATGGAGACGTTCTCGGCATAGTAATGTGGTATTCGTTTGAAAGGTGGTGGCGGTTTATCCCAAAGAGGACGGAAAAGATATGATATGGTTTGGAAATTTGTGATGATACCAAACAAACATGTCAAGAAAAGTATAACAAGAGTGGGAACCAGAAGTTTAGGAGGCGATTTTCGCAACGATCGTGTAGTCATCTATGGAGAAAAATCTGACTCAACTCACCAACTCATTTCATTCCTGCAGAGAAAGAACAGAATAGCTAAATATGTAAACAATTAAAATTAAGGTATCTATGTAAACTGATTAAAACAATCAAATTAAGCTTAGCACGCAAACAAATAAACAAATCTGACTCAACTCCAAACTCTATCAGTCTCAACGAAAGCTGAAATGATTCTTGAATTTTACAAAAAGCTTGGTCCTAAAAACAGACATCAAGTTTAAGCAATCAATGGTCAAATTTTGTGAAAGTAAAATCAGAATTTGCATATCCTTAGGACGAGTTCTTTCTTCAGATCAAAGGTATAGTAAAGCAAAGCAGAATAATATAATCAATAGTTCCACATTTAAATTCATATCAAATTGACGAAAACAAAAATTAAAAAAAAATCAATATTGAATTCTTTAATAACAGAGTGAGAAAATAACCCAGTATAATCCCATACCCAAAACAATAATTGTTTTCGTATGATGAAAATAAAAACAATTTGAAAGAACGAAAGATACCTTTTTTCCAGATTTCTCGAGGTTCGGATGTTCACAGCGAAACCCAAAAATAGTAGAGATAGCTCCAAAATTCAAGTAAAATAGAGGAAAGATGAGAACCGAAGAAGTGTGATCTCTTTCGTTCAACGAATATTTAGCTATAATTTCTCAAATCAAACAAATAAGGAATCTGATGGTGTTTCTTACATCTCTCACGCTTGGGGACTGTAAAACGACAACTAAACCATCCAATCTACGCCACTGATTTTATCGAGGTATATAAAAAATGAGTAAAAAGCTATTAATAAAACTAATAATAAAACAATTTTCTAATCCTAGTCTGCTTTTTTTTTTTGGAAAATTCTCTGAATAATATAAAAAGCGAAAATAAACCATTAAATTTAAATTGAAAAGAAAAACTTTGCTTTTTTTGCCATAAAAAAATCCTTTATTGACTAAAACGGTTTTGCAACAAAGCAAAAAATATATGAGAGACTCATAGAACAAACATCAAAATTCTAAGAGAAGGATTGCTAGACATTAAGAGAAACCTCCTGATTCAACTGATCGTGCAACCAAAAAGTCCTTCCATGGCCAAATAAGATTGGAAGCGACCATCATTCATAACACTCATAGCAATAGCAATTGCCCGAAGAATGGAGTTTGAAACCGGTTTTTCCAATTCCACTTCAAAGCGATTGAAGTGAGACTTCAAAATGTTAATATGTTCACAATAGACTCAATATTGGGGCCACATAGATGGTTTTAAAATTGCCTCAAGATCAGAGGCAATGCTGATATCTGAGAAGTATAGGTTCTTAGCACTTCAAAGTGCCCATATAAAGACCCGAAATTCAGAGATAAGCCGATTAGGGGAATCTGTGAAAGTCTACGGAAAAGAACTGCTCCGACACTGTTTATAGCCAGCCAATAACCACCATTCAGAAGGGAGGAGATCCGCCAATTCGCATGGAGGTTACACTTAATAACTTCCCAGATGCCATCGCTTATTCATGCCAATTGCACTGACTCTGTTTTTTAAAGGTTCCTGAGCAGGGTTCTTAACTAAATTCCATAAGAAAGCTTCTTCAACCAGTCATTGACAGACTACATTTACAGCGTCCTGATTGTTTGAGAATAATCTTCCATTTCGATTTTTCCATATATTCCATAAAAGTCATGGTATTGATCGGTGAAAAACCTCATTCAAAGACTAAACATCCATCACGTCTAGAATGTGGGTGATGTTTTCCACATTGGATTCAATAGAACCGGAGCGCGGAGCCAGGATTCCAGCTATGTCTAAAACCTGTTTGGCTGCATCACTTTGAAGAAGACATGGTTAATGGATTTGGTGCTTTGTTGATAAAGCTTACATGTGTCATCATTCCCACATCCACGTGTTTTCAACATTTTTGTTATCGCTAGGGCTTTTGACAAAGCTCTCCAAAAGAAAACTTTAATCTTCGGTGTTGTTGACAATTTCTAAATTTATTTCTTAACTGCGATTTTAGCTTCTTCCTTAGCGTTCTCTCTGGATGAGGAATGAGTGGGTGGGAGGATGCAAACTAAGAGCCATTATTAACCATATAGGGGCCGTGTTTTGTGTTAGCCCACACAAACTTATCCTCTACATTACCTAAAGGTAGATTCAAGATCCAAGTGACACCTGCAAGGGGAAAAAACCTCATGAAGCTTTGTTTCATTCCATTGACAATTTTTTATATCAGGGAAGAAACGTCAAGCTTAAGTTCAAAAAAGAGCTCCTTAGTCACTGGGCCACTTGGTTCCTCATCCATGATCCACTTATCCAAACAAACTTTTGCGTTCGACCATTCCCTATGGATTTTATCAGGCCCCAATACTGCAGTTCCCTCCCATGTAGTATACTACGCCAAGCACAATAAGACTGATAACTTTTACCACATTCCAAAAACTTTTATTATTTTAGTATTATCCCTTGTACACCCTTGCCAAGGAGAGAGTCAGGTTCATTCAAAATATGCCATGCCTGCTTAGCTAATAATGCCTGATTAAAATATCCAACATCTCGAAAACCCAAACCTCCAAGGGATTTACCCTTAAACATATCCTTCCAGGTCACTCAGTGAATCTTCTTTTTCTTGTCACAATCATTCCACCAGAAGTCAGTTATCGCTGAAGTTAACTTGCGACACTGATGTTTAGTCAGTCAAAAGCAGAACATCGCATATACTGGTAATCACATGGCAATCAAGTTGATTAAGATATCCTTTCCTCCCAAAGATAGTGTTTATGGCCAGCCAAGAACCACCATTGAGAAGGGAGGAGTTCTGCCAATTCGCATGGAGGTTACACTTAATAACTTCGTTAATGGAAAGATGCCATCGCTTATTCATACCAATTGCACTGACTCTGTTTTCTAAAGGTTCCTGAGCAGGGTTCTTAATTGAATTTCATAAGAGAGCCTCTTCAACCAATCATTGTCAGACTACATTTGCAGCATCCTGATTGTTTTGAGAATAGTCTTCCATTCCAATTTTTCCATATATTCCATAAAAGCCATGGTATAGATCGGTGCAAACCTCATTCAAAGACTGAGCATCCATCACATATAGAATGTGGGTGATGTTTTCCACATTGGATTCAGTAGAACGAAGCGCAGAGCCAGGATTCCAGCTATGTCTAAAACCTGTCTGGCTGCATCACTTTGAAGAAGACATGGTTAATGGATTTGGTTCCTTGTTGATAAAGCTTACATGTATCATCATTCCCACATCCACGTGTTTTCCACCTCTTTGTTACCGCTAGAGCTTTTGACAAAGATCTCCAAAAGAAAACCTTAATCTTCGGTGTTGTTGACAATTTCCAAATCCATTTCTTAATTGAGGTTTTAGCTTCTTCCTCAACCGTTCTCTCTGGAGGAGGAATTAGTGGGTGGGAGGATGCAAACTAAGAGCCATTATTAACCGTCTAGGAGCCGTGTTTTGTGTAAGCCCACACAAACTTATCATCTACATTACCTAAAGGTAGATTCAAGATCTGAGTGACATCTGCATGGGGAAAAAAGCTCATGAAACTTTGTTTCATTCCATTGACAATTTTTTATATCAGGGAAGACATGTCAAGCTTAAGATAAAAAAAGAGCTCCTTATTCACCGACCCACTTGGTTCCTCATCCATGATCCACTTATCCAACCAAACCTTCGCGTCCGACCATTCCCTATGGATTTTATCAGGTCCTAAGACTGCCATGTATACTACGCCAAGCACAAGAAGGCCGATAACCTTTACCAAATTCCAAAAAAATTTATTATTGTAGTACTATCCCTTGTACACCCTTGCCAAGGAGAGAGTCAGGTTCATTCAAAATATGTCATGCCTTCTTAGCTAATAATGCCTGATTAAAATCTCCAACATCTCGAAAACCCAAACCTCCAAGGGATTTAGCCTTACACATATCCTTTCAGGCCACCCAGTGAATATTCTTTTTCTTGTCACAATCATTCTACCAAAAGTCAGTTATCGCTGAAGTTAACTTGGGACACTGATGTTTAGTCAGTCAAAAGCAGGACACATGGAAATCAACTTAATTAAGATATCTTTCCTCCCAAAGATAGTGTTTTTGCGTACCAACCATTAAGCCGTTTTTTGAGTTTTTCATTGATGAAGGCTAAAAGCTTTTTTCAATACCTAGTAACTCTGCTATTAACCGGCATATGATCAGGTCCACTTATGTTCCATAGGTAACAGATGATTTGGAAAAGTTGATTTCCTGGCCTGATGCATTGCCATACAGCCTTAGGCAGTTAAGAAACTCTAACACTCCATCAGATGTGGAATTTTGAAAAAACCCCTTTAAAATACTTCATCTATATAAAACTAATTAAAAAAGTACATAAGCTATTTCAATTCCTAAAAAAATACATAGAATATATAGCCGCAAGTGCACAGCTGATCGATTGTAGTACTTAGGGATCAAATCCACAGGGAAGGAGGATATTTCCTGCAAAAGCTTTCGAAAGAAATATGAAGTAAAGAAGTCTAGAACCAGACAATTTTTGTAAGGGTTTTGGTGATGTCTTTAAAACGTAAAAACTAATCTTAACGGGAAAATACGAGAATTAAAATGACCTATTAACTAAACTTAATGAAATCGACTAAAAACAACAAAACGGCTAGACCTAATTGCTTGTATGAAAATTGGCTGAAAGAGTAAAAATACTAGAATAAAACTTGAATGAAAATCAATGTAAATCTATAGAAAAGAGGGTTTTCAGGGAATATCTCTCTGGGGGATGAACGATTCAAAACATTGCTAAAGAGTGAATTTAATAAGATCCTAGCTAAAACTTATAGAACTCGAATCACGAACGTATGAATACGCCACTATCGTGATCATAACCAACTATCTCTCTCAACCCTGACCAGTAGGTTTCCAACTCTGGCCCTGGAAAAGAAAAGATGCAGTAAGCTTAAGACTCATCAATATTCACAGTTCTCTCATAGGTAAGTTTCCACTCCTATGGTCGATCTGCTCTTCTCGAACTAGATCTGGCCTTGAATAAAAACTTTCACAACACCCAAAACCGGGATCAGATTGTAGTTCACGACGCTACTCCCATGCATTATAAATAAGTTTAGAAGATAGAGTTCTAGGATTTGGCTTCAATAGCTAATGGAATCCTCATCGAAATAAACTCCATTGAAAATCTCTTAAACCCAACAATGAAACTACTAAGACATGATGAACAAAAGCAAAAACATAGTATTCAAAAGTAGAGCAGAAATCGAAATTAACAGAGAAACAAAAAGGGTTCAAGAGATAGATCTCTCTCCCTAAACCTAAAACAAAAGCTTAAAGTTGTATCTTTTCTAAAGTATTTCGTCTCTATCTAAAAACGACCTAAATGATAAGTATTTTGATGTGCTCAGGTTTTAACCCTAGTTTTCTGCAAGCGCACAGATGTACGTTGTAATACTTAAGGGTCGATCCACTGAAGACCAAGTAACTGCAATACGAGTTTAATTGAGATGAGAACTGAGCTAAGATGAAAATATGTGTGTTTGTTTGGGGGTTGTGAACAGTGACGAAAATAGCAAATAATAAACTTAAAAACAAGTAAACAATAAGATCAAATCAATACGAGAAGGTGTTGGGCGTTAGGGAATTCGCCGGGAAATCCTAGACTAGCTAACAAGAGAATTAAACATAGAGTTTTCTAAGATGTGTTCCTGAAATCAGACCCAGACTAAGCTACTCACGTAGTATTAATC